AGTGTAATCTACAAAAAAATTTATTAAAGGATTTTTTTTTTGAGAATATAATGAATTTTGCTTGATAAATCCTTAGATTGAATGAGCAGCTTTATCATATCTTGATGATGATTCCGATTATGTTGTTGAACGGCGTAATGAAGTTTCATTATTGTTTGTGTATTGGATTGTGATTTGCTTAATATATATAATCAATTAAAAGCACTCCCAAACTTCGTCTTACTTGACTAAAATTGGCGATGAACTCAATGTATTTTAGATTCTGTCAAATGCCATGTAATTTTAGTAAAATGGTATTTTTAGCCCATGTTCGGCGGGAATTAAAATAATTTTTTAGTAAATTTTGATAAAAGTTGATGAAATGTGTAATTAAGATATTGATAAAAGTTATGAACCCAACAAAATGTATGATTAAAATTAATTATTGACTTTGATTTCAACTTTTTAGGTTGTCCCGAATTAGCACTTAGCTGTATTATCTTATTTGGCACCATAAGTTGTGTCCATGAGTGAGGCCACTTGCCATGTGAAGGAACACTTGAAGAAACCACTCAAAACATCATGTAACATCTTCCCCTTCAATGTCTCTATCTCAAGGCCTTCAATGTCTCTTACTCTAAAAAATTTGCACACTAAAAATATAGGATCCTCGAGTTCATTACAATATGGTTGTTCGAGTTGCCTTGTCTAATATGTATAAATAGAAATTGATACAAATAATCCGACATTTTCCAATGATATTTCCAAAATCTTTGTCTAATTCTGTCTTACCAAAAAAGACTAACTTCTAACCAGCCCACAAAGGTTTGTGAGGCTGAATCAAGTATGAAGAATGAATCTATATCTATGTAGTGAAGTTTTTGACCAACGGCTAGACAAAAGAAGGCAAAAATATTTATTAAAAAATAAAATAAGATAAATAATATTTTAGAGGCCTTTAAAAGTTAATTGGTTGGAATAATGATTACAAAAAATTATTTGGGAAAAAGAGAAAAGAGAAAAGTGGAAGATGCTTTAGCCTCTTACAAGTTGAAAAGGGATAATCCGAAAGAATTTGTGGATAGAATTAGATAAAGAGCAAATGAAAAGCATTATATTCCTAGACAAGACGATAAAAATTTGTTTGGTCTTTTTCATAGACAAGATTTTAATTATAAAAGAAAAGGTCTATTTTTTTTTTATCCCAGTGTATCTACATGGTATTCTTCCTTTTTCTCTCTCTATTTTTCTTAAATTTTTAGATTTTATTGTTCTTCCTAAGGAAATGAAAATAGAAAAATAAAAGTTATTAGCTTTAAACCTTTTTTTTAGTAGTGTAGTTTCTGCATTTAAATTTATTGTTTGATCAATGTATGTCCGCGTCAATGTTTCATTAAATAATAATATCCACATGTTATCGCGTTCACTTCAAAAAAGTACAATGAAATTATTTCCTATGGATTAAATCCACTAATGATCACTTAACTTTATACTTGGTGTCCTATGACCACCAAATTTAATTTTGTTTCATCATGATCACCTAACTTTATACTTACTATCACTATGGCCACCCAATTTGATTTTATTTCACTATGAGCATCTAATTTCATATAGCGTTTCATCATGACTACCTAACTTTTTTTCACCATTTTCACTAATTTTAATAGGAGTAAAACAGTAACTTTGCATTATATTTATAAAATAAAATTTAAAAAATATATATATTATAAAAACTTATTTTAAAATAAAAATTTTAAAAATAGAAAAATTATTTTTTTGCTTTTTTAATTTATTTTATATATATAATACAAAGTTACCGTTTTGCTATTTTTAAAATTAGTGAAAATTGTGAAAATAAATTGAGGTGATCATGGTGAAATGTTATATGAAATTGGATGGTCATTGTGAAATAAAATCAAATTAAATGACTATGGTGATACAAAGTATAAAATTGGGTGGTCATAGTGAAACAAAATTAAAATGAGTGGCCATGGTAACACTAAGTATAAAGTTCAGGGACCATTTGTAGATTTAATCCTATTTCCTACAGATAATTTTGAAATAATTAAGGTATATACCTACTTTTAATTAAAAAAAATTTGAAAATACTTTATTTTTCTATTTTCTGATAATTACTTATGCATAACCCTTGTCCGGTATTAATTAAAAATTGATAAAAATTTCAAATTAAAGTCAACAATTATTTTTAAACCATATATTTCATGAAATACATAATTTTTCAACCACATATTCATCCATTTTTATCAAAATTTACTAAAAAATATGATAAAAAATTTCAAAAATTACTTCTTTTCCATCATATAAAGACGTGCCTACCATTCTAAACACTAAACAAAATCAAAATAGGCTGTGCAAAGCAAAACTTTCAATCTCGATAAATTTTTATTTTTCACAATTTTGTAATCTTTAAAGAATGATACCTTATAACTTCACATTTGAGTCATTTTCTCAATAAAATCCCACCCGGCAGACCCCAAAACAGAGAAGGCAACGGTGGAAAAGACGAGCGAAAATAAAGCTTCATATTGAATTAGGTAATGGAAAAAAGTTAATTTATCTACATACACAAATTGGGCTTTTGGTCTTTGCGTTACAGTTGGATATCTAATGGAGGCCCAACACATGAGTTTAAGTAGGGAAGAATTCACAAATAGGGATGGCAATTCGAACTGTGAAAACCGAAAACCGCGATTAACCGAACCGAATGGGGTGAAAAAAATCGAACCGATGGTACAATGGGGCGGTTATGGTTTTTGATTTTAACGAACCGCTTCATTTAGGGGCGGGTTTAATATTTAGTTATTGTGAACCGAATCGAACCGATTACCCGTGAAAAAAAAAAAAAAAAAAA